TTATTTTTTTTTAAATTCAAGCTATTTTTATTATTTTTGAGTTTTATACAAGCATTTACTTGAATTATACATGTACTTAGTTTTGTACTGTTTTATATTTGATTAATTATTCTATACTTATTTGAAACAATTATTCTATATTTTAATAATCATTTTATTAATTATTGATCTATATATATTTATTTTGTGTGTGTGTGTAATATATATATATATATATATATATATATATATTTATTTATTTATAATCAGTTTTATACATACAATAATTTGTGGTATTTAACATTAATGAAATTGTTTTATTTTATTAAAAATTCAATAATTTGAAAAATTAATTGTATTAATTATATACACACACACATACACATATATCATAGATAATTTATGGTATTTAAAATGTATAATTGCAGAAATTGTATATGTTAATGTTTACTGTACAAATATATTAATTAGTGTATGTGTTAGAGTACAAAATTTATAAATATTAAAAAACATAATATCTGAATTTCTTTTTTTGGGGGGCTTTGGAAAATTGTATTATCATGACCAAATTGCATAATAATACATTCAAAACACTAATTTAATTTTAACATGCAAATTACTAATTAATTTACAGTCTTGAGTATTATTTTTTATATAATAGTTTTATAGAAGTATTTATTTGAAATATACATGTACATACTTAGATTTGTACAGTTTTATATTTTAACCATTATTCCTCCTTTTTTACTAATTTCTTTTCATTTATAACCAGTATTAAACATACCATATTATATGCTATTTAATGTTTAGAATTATGGAAATTGTATATGTTAATGTTTACTGGGGAAAAAAGAGACTTCAGCAGCAATGTTTGCTGTATTTTGAGGACATAAAATAATTGGTCTTAACTGTATACTAAAATAATAATTAAAAAAAAGTTTACGCAAAACTCTAAATGCATACTGTACCTTCAGGTAAAAGTTATTATACAAACAAACATACAAGTAAATATCTATACCATCTGTATCGGTGGAAAAATGTAAATGAACTAAACGTCATAAAAAAAAAAAACACTCTGTCCCAGTGCTTCTGTGCAACAAGTGGAACTTGTTCTGAATAAAAACTGGTTCCTAGTTCTCAAGTGAGCTAAAAAAGAAAAACCGTTCACAGACGTGCAAACAGTATAGTGGTATTTCTAGTAGCACAAGGTACTTACAAAGAACAGATTATATGTGTTTACCTTGACGCAGATAAGCACGGTGACAAAGAAGATGGAGATGGAGAGGAAGAGGAGAAACATGAGGAACCAGGCGCTCCAGTGCAACCAGTTGCTGAGACCCATCATGCGCATGTACTCCTGCAACACACACACACACACAGCTGCAGTGAAGCTTTCTTACATCAAGAGCAACAGAATCCACGTTCATGCCCATTTCATGTACCTTCAGTTTCCGCTCCTTCTCCTGTACTACAGCTCGGACGATGTTCAGAGACGTGTAGGTGAAGCTGAGCACCAGCAGCAGTGGCAGCTGGTTCTGGATGGCCAGGATGAAGACGTCGTACATGAATGCTGGGTAAGGGAAACGAGCCAGCAGCACTTGGGTTCTCTTGAGGAGGGCCGCCGCCGCCGTGCTGTTGTAGGCCTTCATGATGGCCCGGTCCACCGCGTGCTGCACCTGCAGGAAGCCCTCGCGGTGATATCCTGTCCAGACACACACAGTACTCATTAGATTCCACTCAATCAAACTTATGAGCGTTTAACTGAATCAAATGAACTGAGGAGAGTTCTACTGAAAAAATATTCTGGGTTCTGTATACAATACAATACAAGCTGAATTGACAGCACTTGTGGTTTAATGTTGGATATTGCAAATATCAATTTCCACTTATCCTGCTTTTTCTTTAAAAAACAAAAGTCTGGCTGAATGAGGCAATTTGTAACCATCTCACTGTTTCCATAAAGCCAATACAATGTGTGGTGTAACATGATTTTAATGTGAAAAAATGTATTAATCTTTTGTGTGTCTGAAGTTATATTAAAGGTCCCATGGCATGAAAACTTTATGAGGTTTTTTAACATTAATACGAGTTCCCCTAGCCTGCCTATGGTCCCCCAGTTGCTAGAAATGGTGATAGGTTCAGCAATGGATGCTCTGCAGTGAATGGGTGCCGTCAGAATGAGAATCCACTCTAGTCCATCAGTTAATGTCTTGTGAAGAGAAAAGCTGTGTGTCCATCAAATCCATCATTAACTCTTTCCCCGCCAGCATTTTTGAAAAAAGTTGCCAGCCACCGCCAGCGATTTTGATGATTTTCACTAAAATTTGATGGCCTCCAGTATATTTTGCTGTATGAATATTTGAATATGCAATACATTAATGTAAATGCTTTTATAAAATTATAAGCTTCGCATTGCTTCAAACTGACCCCATTCACTTCCATTGTAAATGTCTCCCTGTAACCTTGATCTTTGGTCCTTTTTTCCATTGAAAATAATATAAATGCATACTAACATAAACATACTAACCATTTTATGTGTGAAGTTATATCTAATTTTACAGTGTTGCAATGACAATGCAATGTCAAATAATAAAACCCAATTTTTTTTTTTTAAATCAGCATTTATAGCTTTCAATTAAAAAATACACATATCTTACCAGAAGAATTAATGTAAATGCTTTTATAATATTATAAGCTAAATGCCTCACTGTACTCTGGATCTTTGATCATTACAGACCAAAAATCATTAAGTTTATGATTTTTTTCACATGTGTTATTACATCAGAATGGTACGAAACTTGGTGACTTGTTGTACTTGCCATGTGAACAAAACAAAAAAAAAGGTCTTTAAAAAATAGCCCCACTTCTTAGCTGTCAAAAATGACCACCATAGGCAATTAATGGCCAATATGAAAAATACTTTGGGGTACAATCTACAAATCGCACAGCAGTGCAGGGGTTAAACTTTAAAACACCTGTAATATTTCTTTTGAGCTTCAGGAAGCTACTATTTCACAAAACTTAAAAATTCATTGAGAATTCCTCGCCGCTTCTCATGGCTTTTCAAACCATAATGACCCTTGAAGATCAAAACCCTCTTCGCACTTGCAGTATAAAGCAACTCAATGCAATTAAATGCAGATGAAAGAACGACGGTGAAGCACGAAGAGTCGTGCAAGCGAATATCAAGATGTAATTTGTAGCACCGTGACAAAAATAGAGGATAACTGTCATCAAAGTTCAGACCCGATGCTAACGCAGCGCTCATGATTAATAACACTCTGCAGGTGTTTTGAAGCTGCTGGCAGCACTGGAGGCCATCAGGCGAAGGAACACTAACTAATCCAAATCACTTCCTAATCAACAGCTAGCGCCGTCACGGGAAACCTCATGTACAGGAAGAGATCATTAAGGTTTATCTCATCTGCTGATGGTAACTGACAGCAAAAGGTCATCAAGGAAGAAATCGACCACTAATTTGCATGTTGATGGACGATTTTTGATTAAAGAGCTTTTTAATGAACTGATACTAGCACTTAAAATTGTAGTTTTATGGCTATTAGCTTTAACATCATCTATATTTTAATGCATAAAAATTAAACATTAAGCACATATGAATTAGCAGACTTAATCTTGGGGAAAGTAGCATTACATGACTTGCTCAGCAATGGATGCTCTGCAGTGAATGGGTGCCGTCAGAATGAGAATCCACTCTAGTCCATCAGTTAATGTCTTGTGAAGAGAAAAGCTGTGTGTCCATCAAATCCATCATTAACTCTTTCCCCGCCAGCATTTTTGAAAAAAGTTGCCAGCCACCGCCAGCGATTTTGATGATTTTCACTAAAATTTGATGGCCTCCAGTATATTTTGCTGTATGAATATTTGAATATGCAATACACTCAAATAAAGATCAGAGCCTCTACTTTTAAACAAAAAAAATCAGTTTTATTCTAGCTTAAAGCATACATTTTTTATCAACACTTGAATATAGGTAGGTTTCATAAAAAATGCATAATTTTGAGCAAAAAGGTGAGAAAATCACATTTTTATCAAAAACTGCATCTGGATAATATTCAGTACGATTATCAAAGCATAAATCCAGTAAATCGCTTCTATCAACACCTCCAAAGCTTGCACAGACATATACCACTTCCTGGATCAACATTTTACTCCGTAACGTTATGCAGTTTTCATTTATATGCTGTCTATTGCTGATGATGGCATTATTTTTCATATGCATCTGTTTACATAAGAGATCGCTCGTTTCTCCGTCCTGTTCACGTGTGTTTTTGTTCGGGAGGTTTTATACTCGTTCAGAAGATGCGTAATAAGAGTGTATAACAGTGAAAACATGAAAAGTGTCTTTGGCGGGGAAGCGTTTTCTTCTAAGAGACTAGATAACTCGTCAATGGCGGGGAAAGAGTTAAGACAACTTCAAACCATTTCAAATGGCTAAAATATGAGTCTCTACCCATAATATTGCTTCCTCCAGTGAAAAAAAATTGTCTGGTCTGAATCAGGAGAGAAATATGCACAGATCAAGCACCATATACAAACAGTCCAAAACGGTTCAATATGTGGGTGGATTTTGATGTGAGAGACAACAGGAGATGGACTTTTTCACCGGAGGAAGCGTTATGGATTATTGACTCATGTTTTGGCGATAAGCGATGGTTTAAAGTTAAACGTCTTGATGAATTCGTTTCACAAGACATTAACTGATTGACTGGAGGGGTGTGGATTACTTGTGGATTATTGTGATGTTTTTATCAGCTGTTTGGACTCTCATTCTGACGGCACCCATTCACTGCAGAGCATCCATTGCTGAGCAAGTGATGAAATGCTACATTTCTCCAAATCTGAGGACGAAACAAACTCATTTACATCTTGGATGGCCGGAGGACGAGTAAATTCTCAGCAAATTTTCATTTTTGGTTGAACTACTCCTTTAACTTGAAATTCATGGCTTGTAGGTTGCTTCTGCTGGGTTAATTTCCCACAATGCATCAGTGTGGACTGACCTGGTGTGCCCCCGTGTGGCTCGTGTTGTTCTCTGGGCCCGGGCAGCTGGAACAGCGGGAACAGACTGAGTGTGTGCCAGTCCAGATCATTGTTGGGGTTGAGCTCAGACTTCTCGCGCACCGGAGCGTTTCTGGGGCTGTACGTGAAGCGCAGATGATAGCTGACCTGCCACACATGACATCAAAGGTTGTTTGTTTGATGTGACTTAACATTTCACGTATTAGAGGGTTAAACCCCAAAGTAACATGTGTCTTGATTAATGGCACAATATACATTGAATAACTCTTGTGGGGGTTTGAACCTACAACCTTACAGTTACCACACCAGATAATAATGAATATTGTTTAATATATACCTCAGAGCACACGTGATATTTAATTAACTTTGAGAATAACTGGAGATTGAAAAAATTAAAAAAAAAAAATTTAATACAATTTTTAAAGCCCCAGGCTTGTTGTGCTTGTTTGTATAGGGCTGCATAATTTGGCCCAAAATTGTGATTATATATCAATATAACTATATAATAATAATAATACACAAACAAATATCACTGTAAAATAAAAAAAAAGTGTTTAATAATAATATTTTTTTTAAAAAAGAAAGAAATATTTATTTTGTAATTTTTCACTGCAAAATAAAGAAATGGAGTATTTAATAAGAATAATAATAATAGACTTGTTTTGTGAAATTTTAATCTGACAAAAGTGTCATTTTGTGCCTCATTTGTGACATGAGGAAAACAAATTTCTGTGTAAATCATTCATAAAACCATTCTTAAGTTAATTGTTAAAAAAATAAAAAATAAATAAATAAAACACATTTTACATAGAAAAAAAAAACATTTTCCTCGATGCTGATCCAGGACCTGCACTGGAGCGGCAGTAAACTCATTAAATCCTCAGTGAAGGACTCGCTGTCTGTGACCGAGGACCGAGAGCTTTCATCGTGAGAGATGAGAAGAAAGCAGACCAGACCTCATCTCTCCATCAGGCAGCTGGAGAAACCTCAGCAAGCGCATCTCAAAACGCCTGAAACGGCTTCAGCGTTTCATAAACACACGAACAGGCGCCGGAGACATGAAACCAATATGCTTTGAGGGTATTTGTTGCTAGTGCACTAATGGCCTGATTCCTCCTGCTAGATTCGACTGCACTCTTGACTCCTGTGGAAAACAGCTTATTTTGTCCTCAAATGCTCAGAAAAGAACATTTCCTTCGGGAACACTCGCTTTAAGTAACGGTTATCATCATGAAAGACAAGTAAATAGGCGAGTCTCATTAAAACTGACAAGACTGCGCTTTATTTCACACAATCTAAAGAAAATGGAGGAAGTGATTTTAATCCCCAAAATCCCTGCCGGTACGGAGACTCGACCCACGACCTTTGGGTTACAAGTCCGACTCTCTAACCATTAGGCCATGACTGCCCCATTTTCATTACTGTATCAATATTACTATTAGTAAATAGCATGGAATTTATTCCATTAAAGAGAATTTGAGAGGGAAATGTGTTTAATATCAAGCAAATTCATACAAATATTGTTACAATGCAAAAATAGCTTATTTTCTTTATGCAAAACATAATTTTAATATAATAATAATTTCATATATTTAATTTATAATTAAATATTATAAATTAAATTATTTTATTTTAATAATAATAATAATTTTATATTGTTTCATTTATTTAGATTTGATGCCAGAGTGATTTTTTCATGAGACTCGTCCACATAATGGTTTAAACTGTTTAGCATGCAGTTTTACAGGTTAAAATACAATTACTATTATTATTATTATTATTAGTGTAGTAGTATTACTAAATAAAAATAGATTTTACTCTAAAATAAAGAAATCAGGCGTTTAATAATAAAATTAATTGATCATCATTAAGATTATTACTAAATAAAAATGTTAGAAATAAGAAATATTTCTGTTATAATGTTTCACTATAAAAGAAATCTAGTACTTAATAATATTATTATAGAGTGATTTTTGTATTACTAACATTAGTAAACAGTATGGGATTTATTGCAGTAATGAAAATTTGAGGGGATAATGTGTTAATATGTAAATAATTAGCTTAATTTTCTTTATGAAAATAATTTTACTTAATTTCTATATATTTAATTATAATTATATTTCATTTATAATGCATATAATTATTAATGCATTTTTTTTCAGTTGATGCTGGAGTGAAATACATAAACATTACTTCACAAAACTCATCTACACAACGATTCAAACTGTTCAGTATGCAGTTGATCAGGTTGATCTTGGCTAACAGGAGGAGGTAAACAGGAAGAGGGTGATTGGGAATGCTAATTCGTTAAGGCACAGGTCTGTCCGGTCCATGGCGTCTCACCTGCAGAGGAAGCGGCTCGTCGTCGTGTGTGAACTGGTGCTCAAACACAATGGCTGCCAAGATCTTGCCTGACTGTGGGTCAGTTTTCACAAACTCCTCAAACTGCTCCTCTGTTTCAAAGCCACGCACTGGAAAACAAGATCAAGACACAGCATTAGTGCCACAGCCGTCTCTATTAATGTTACTATAGCTTTCATTTATAATAAATAGAACATGTGTATCGATGCACACTCTAACGGCTAATACTGCCCACAACACATTGCTCGGTGGACGAGGCTGTTACTATAGCTTTCATTTATAATAAATAGAACATGTGTATTAAGCAACGCATTCATTTTCTTTATGCAAAATATAATTTAAATTTTTATAGAAAAATGTTACATTAGTTAATTAGTAATAATTATAATATTTTTTTATTTATGCAAATTAAATTGTAATATCATAATTGTATTAGTTAATTATATTAGTATTGTATTAGGCTACGTTCATACTGCCAGTTTTTGGGATTAACAACCGCATTTTCTTTACAGGTTTGAGTCTCGAAATGTCTTACAGTTGTGTTTAGAATACTGTCTGTTGCTGCGTCCCATTTCGCATACTATCCGTCCTAAATAGTATTCGTAAATAGAATTAGTATGTCCCAAATCATAGTATGGTTTAAAAAAAGTATGCCAAAGATTCCCGGATGGTCTACTACTTCCGGTTAGAATTCAAAGTGCAGATCGATGCACACTCTAACGGCTAATACTGCCCACAACACATTGCTCGGTGGACGAGGATTCAATTAGAACTACAAACATGCAGTAAAAGTGTTAAAAAACTACAAACATGGCGGATATACGCGACAGGTAGATAAACGCATTTGAGTGATAAATAATCAATGTCTAACCTGATGAAAAAATATAAATGTAATGTTATCCACGTTATATTTCATCTGCAGCAACACTGTGAACTTTTATAATGATACGTTTGGTCATTAACTTTTAAATGCATCATTATGCAAACACATGTGCAGAGTTCTGGGTATGATAGACCTGCGACTAGCAGATCAACGTACCTCTTAATTTATCTCCAATATGGTAGGAAATCAAATTAAACGAAATGTGGATGATGTTAACTGTGATAAGATGATTGACAGGGTAGTTTAAACAGTGACAGAATGCACGTAACTAAGCAACAGAGCGTCCCTTAAAGAAGCAGCTATGATGAAGTAGTATGTCCCAAAGCTTGCCTACTATTCTTCTACATACTCAAAAGTATGTACTTTTTCTTCCCAAAAAGAGTACATACTTTTAGGGCATAGTATACTAAGTAGGCAAGAATGAACGTGCAACGGGAGTCAAGCCCGTATTCCTTACTAGTAACCATAGCGACAGTGACCAAAGTAAAATAAAAGATGGAGACGTCCATAAAACTGAAAGTCGTATCACTTTCTGACACGAAAAGAGTCCAATCGAGCCGCGAGTTCTTTTGTCAAATCTTCATTAATCATTAACCAACAGCAGCTTTTACATTTTGGTGGAGAGCGGACCATTTGAATCTCACGCAGAATACAAAACTGACAGGAGCTAAAAATTTTAGATGGCACGCATCTCATTTCTCCGTCACTGTATGTTACCGAAAACACACATGAAAACACGTAACACACGGCAGAGCAGCACTGTATGACGTGACAGACAACTAGTTGTCCAGTCCGGTTCCGTTCACACAGCGCGTGTGTTCCGAGAATGCGGTTGTGAGTCCTGAAAATTTAAAGGTGTGAGTTCAGATACAGAATGCGGTTGTCACACCCGTAAATAACCGAACTGTGTGTGAACGTAACCATAGTAAGGACTCAAATACAGGACTGACAACCGTATTCTGCTGCTGTGTGAACGTGGCCTATGTTAGTCATAATAATTGCATTTTAACAACAACAACAACAAAATATAATAATAATTCTTCTTCTTATTAAAGTGCTCCTATTATGGATTTTTGAAAACTACCTTTCATGCAGTGTGTAATGCAGCTGTAAGCGAATGTAAACAGTCTGCAAAGTTGTAAAGCAGAAAGTGCATCATAAATAAATTTATTGTCTCTCAAAAGAAAGAGTCGACTCTGAATCGCTTAAACGAGTCGTTCCAATCTCTGCGAGTTCAACGAGGGATTCCTAAACCGGTTGTCTTTGAAAGATGGGTCAGTGCCCAGTTTGTTTGGACCAGTTTGCTCCTCTGAATCACAGCCTGTAAGTATGATTAATAATTGTTGCTTTGATGTTCTGTCGCGCGTGCAAAATGTTGTGTTGTGTATAGAGTCGGTGCAGCTGTAAGTCTCTGGCTAACTCACGTTATAGTTCTGCTAATCAGCTGTTGGCCTGCTATTGTTTAGAAATGTGTCAATTAATATAGAATATCTGTCACATTACTTGGACTCATAATAAAGGAAAGCAATACGTTGGTTTACAAACTGCAGTGCTTTATCAGTACTCTTTGTCTGTGTTCGGCTAATGCATATACCATTATTGTTTGGGTCTTTACTACCAAGCTGTGGGTCCGGTTCGCTAATATAAGTGTAAAACAACTTTTTCCCCTCTGATTCTTTCTTTTTAGAAGAGAGTGGAGCACTATTATTAATACAATAGGATGTATTATTGTATTGTATTATTGATAAGCCGACATGCGCTGTACGCAGTAGACCAATCATAACAGACTGGGTCATCGGACCAATCAGAGCAGAGTAGCTTCATGCAAAGGAGGGGTTTGGAAAGATTAAACTTTGAATAAATTGTTTGCAAGTCGTTGAGAAATAACATAAAATGAACTGCATATTATAAGAAAATAAAAGTGTTTTTTGACCTTGTATGCATGTAAACCGGTTGTTGGGGACTTCCAAAATCAAATTATGAACATTTCAAATACCATAATAGGGCCGCTTTAACATTATTATTATATTTATAATAAATAATAATTGTATATTAATCCACCTATCAACCACGCAGATCGCCTTAGCAACACCCTGGCAACCACCCACAACACATTAACATCATGGCAGCAAAGAAGGCGTTTCTCAAACAAACGCAAATTGTTCATATTGTTATATGCAATCAATTCAGAACCCAGAAAGTTTGAGGGTTAAACTGATAAAAACAGATGAATTGATGAGAAATGTATCCATGTGACCTTTAAAGCAGCTGTGTGGACACTGGCTCACTGTTTGACCTTTAAAATAATTGATTTTAGGATTTGTCAGTCTACTGGAAACGTATGTTAATGATATCATGATCACTGGTGGGGGTTTTTTCAAGAGAAAATAATGTTAAAAGAAAAAGCTAATGAGACTAGGCAAGAATGGGAATTCAGCCAGGTCACGACTGGGATTTAACAACTAAATCCAATTAAACACACACACACACACACATGCACACACACTCGCACACTAAAAAATATTAATCGGTTCTGTTGGGGATAGTATTGTTACTGTTAACTACAAAAAAAAAAACTACCACAAATATTAACCGGTTCTGTTGGTGACAGTGTTGTTACTGTTAACTACCAAAAAAAATAACTACCAAAAATATTAATCAGGTCTGTTGGTGATAATATTGTTATTGTTAACTACCAAAAAAAAAAAAACGACCAAAAATATGAATCGGTTCTGTTGGTGATAGTATTGTTAACTACAAAAAAAAACTACCAAAAATATTAATCGGTTCTGTTGATTATAGTATTGTTATTGTTAACTACCAAAAAAAAAAACTACCAAAAATATTAATCGGTTCTGTTGGGGATAGTATTGTTACTGTTAACTACAAAAAAAACCTACCAAAAATATTAATCGGTTCTGTTGGTGATAGTATTGTTAACTACAAAAAAAACCTACCAAAAATATGATTCGGTTCTGTTGGGGATAATATTGTTACTGTTAACTACAAAAAAAACTACCACAAATATTAATCGGTTCTGTTGGTGACAGTGCTGTTACTGTTAACTACAAAAAGAAAACTACCAAAAATATTAATCAGTTCTGCTGGTGATAACATTGTTAGTTAACTACCAAAAAAAAAACTACCAAAAATATTAATCGGTTCTGTTGGTGATATTATTGTTAACTACAAAAAAAACTACCAAAAATATTAATCGGTTCTGTTGGTTATAGTATTGTTATTGTTAACTACCAAAAAAAAAACTACCAATAATATTAATCGGTTCTGTTGGTGATATTATTGTTAACTACAAAAAAAACTACCAAAAATATTAATCGGTTCTGTTGGTGATATTATTGTTAACTACAAAAAAAACTACCAAAAATATTAATCGGTTCTGTTGGTGATATTATTGTTAACTACAAAAAAAACTACCAAAAATATTAATCGGTTCTGTTGGTGATATTATTGTTAACTACAAAAAAAACTACCAAAAATATTAATCGGTTCTGTTGGTGATATTATTGTTAACTACAAAAAAAACTACCAAAAATATTAATCGGTTCTGTTGGTTATAGTATTGTTATTGTTAACTACCCAAAATATTAATCGGTTCTGTTGGTTATATTATTGTTATTGTTAACTACCGAAGGAAAAAAAAAACTACCAAAAATATGATTTGGTTCTGTTGGTGATAGTATTGTTACTGTTAACTACAAACAAAACAAAAAACTACCAAAAATATGATTCGGTTCTGTTGCTGATAGTATTGTTACTGTTAACTACACACAAAAAACTACCACAAATATTAATCGGTTCTGTTGGTGATAGTATTGTTATTGTTAACTACCAAAAATATTAATCGGTTCTGTTGGTTATAGTATTGTTATTGTTAACTACCGAAGAAAAAAAAAACTACCAAAAATATGATTTGGTTCTGTTGGTGATAGTATTGTTACTGTTAACTACAAACAAAACAAAAAACTACCAAAAATATGATTCGGTTCTGTTGGTGATAGTATTGTTACTGTTAACTACACACAAAAAACTACCACAAATATTAATCGGTTCTGTTGGTGATAGTATTGTTATTGTTAACTACCAAAAATATTAATCGGTTCTGTTGGTGATAGTATTGTTAACTACAAAAAAAACCTACCAAAAATATTAATCAGTTCTGTTGGTGACAGTGCTGTTACTGTTAACTACAAAAAAAACTACCAAAAATATTAATCGGTTCTGTTGGTGATAGTATTGTTAACTACAAAAAAAACCTACCAAAAATATTAATCAGTTCTGTTGGTGACAGTGCTGTTACTGTTAACTACAAAAAAAACTACCAAAAATATTAATCGGTTCTGTTGGTGACAGTGCTGCTACTGTTAACTACCAAAAAAAAACTACAACAATTATTAATCGGTTCTGTTGGTGATAATATTGTTATTGTAAACTACCAAAAAAACTACCAAAAATATCAATTGATTCTGTCAGTGACAGTGTTGTTATTGGTAACCACCGAAAAACTACCAAAAAAATCAGTCAGTTCTGTTAGTGACAGGTTTATTATTAACTACCGAAAAAATACCAAAAATATCAATTTGTAGATGTTAGTGACAGTGTTTAGATAAAGCTAAAACGATTAAAATAATTTCCGTTAATAATAAAGCTAAAATAAAACACAATTGAAATATTAGATGAAAAACATATAATAATGAAAATAATAAAAAAACAAGGAATAATATCACTAAAAATGAAATACAGATAAATTAAAGCTAAATAAAAAAACATGAAAGAACTAATAAAAATGACAATCACTAAAACAAAATTACTTGAAATTAAAATGTAAACTGAAAATATAAAACTAAAAGCCAATTTAAAAATCAAATAGCATTACTAAAACTTAAATCAAAATTAAAACTGAAAATATAAAAGAAAAATGAAAATGTAACAAATAAAATATAAAAATAAGTAAACTCAAAATAATAATAAACAATAATAATATAAAAAAAAATTATAAGATAACACTGGTTAGTGATTATGAAAGTTCTGCATTCTTTCGGTGTTAAAATACTATAAATATCTGATCTATTTATTAGTTTGCAGTCTGAGCTGCAAAATATTATAAAGACAATAAATAGACAAAACGCCTTTCTATTGTGTTGTTTTTGATCGTTTCCACACAATAACAAACACACAGTGTGATAAATGTTGCTCACGAACAAATGAACTGGTTATTTTAAATGAAATAGTCCAAAAGACTTAGTCAGATCAGTCAAAATGATCAGTTTGACTCGGTCAAATGACTCACTGAATCAGAACCTCTAATATAATAAACTCATTTATCCTCAAGCCATTGCTTTCATCATGTCCATCTAGAAATGAACCGCTACTTAAAGCTCTGTAATTTCAGATAAATGATGTGTTTGTCTCATCTATCCCACAAGTCCGGGCTTAAAGTGTCTAATTCGCTGACTTTCATTTCATCAGCGCTGCAGCAGACTCTTTTAAAGCAGGATATTCAGTCAGCGAGTCATTTGCGAATATCACACAGCACTTTAACACCATCAAGCTGTTCATTTTACAGTCAAAGTTGAGGCATCAGATTATGGATCTCCTCGCTCAGAGCGACAGGAAGAAGCAAAAAGGGTCTGGCGTGAGTCACATGATCAGGACACAGCCCAGAGAATCGTTTATTACGTGACTCACCACCTGCATATTTCCCTGCAGGCCTTCATGACAACTCATAAACGCAAGCACCAGGACAATTCAAGGGTCAGGCAGAGGCTATTTCTGTCGAGAAGAGCGGCCATGAGGTTTTTGGTGGGGTCATGATGCTATTTAACGTCAAAACCTCAATATATGCTTTCATTTCAACTGCAAACTCACACATATTGTAGAGCAGAGCAGTTATACTAACGCCAGGCTTCACACACACTTTTGGACCAATGAACTTTAATGACTTATCTAGGCATGCATGATTTCCTGATAGACATGCGATATCAATAAAAATGTTTTAGAGATATTGGACTCATGATGTGCAATTTATAGACGTTGAGCGTAACAACGTAATGGGAATTTCCTACGTTTTTACTAGTTTTAGTTAGGGCTGCACGATAATGACAAAAATCATAATTGTCGATTATTCCCTTGAAATTATAATTGCGATTATTAATTACGATTATCACAATTTAAACAAGATGAAAACACTCTAACTGAAAAACTTTTATTGCTTTTCTATAGTACCAAGCATCAAATGTCAAATATACATTGGTTTGGTTTCTTCTTTAAATAATAAATCAAATTTAAAATATGCATGGTATTATAATGTTATATTAAAACTAAAATAAAAAAACAATGAAAACACTCTTACGATAACCTGTAGAAAAAAAAACACATCTTAAGCACGCAGAATAACATAAGTGGACTTTAAACGATGAATTGCCGTTTTGAACGATTACGTAATTGTGGCATCCGTAATTGTAATCACGATTAGAAATTCGATTAATTGTGCAGCCCTAGTTTTAGTTTAAAGTTTTCCTTTCATTCATGATTTCTGGACAAAGAAGTTAATAACATTTGCACTCACAAGAAGCAATATCTATACAAATAAATATTGTACAAAGGAGCATAACGAAAAGTTGCCCAAGCCTGGAAACCGCAAATTTAAAATTGTATGTTATTTCCAGTTTTTCCATGAATGTGGAAGCCCTGAAGGTGTAGACAGTTTACTGCATAAGCTTGCTGTATATGTGCATGTCTTTTTTGACAGTGCAAATAAAACACACTAATAATAAAAAATAATAATAAATATATAACATTAAATAAAATAATATTACGTACATTTTTGGTTTTTGCCATTTGCTGACAGTATAAATAGAAAAAAATTAAATTCTCTATTTCTGTATTAGCAGATTTTCCATGTAGCCAGTTTGTTGCATATATTTGCTGTATTTTTTTCTTTTTCGTCAGTTTTTGACAGTTAAATTGAAATAAAATTACCTGCTATTAGCAGGAATTTCATGTAGCCAATTACATACAGTATATTTGCTATATATTTTCTTGTCATTTTTTTTTTACAATATTAATGAAACCAAATAAAAAAATTTAAATACAACAAAAATAATAAAATAAAACAAACTAAAATTACTAGCTATTTCCATGCTTATATTTCCGTGTTTTCTATGTAGTCATGTTTTTTTTTTATCATTTCACTGACCATATGGAGAGAGGTGATAACAACATCAGCCAATGATTCAAGCCAAACCAGATGCTCTAGCCGCTAACATGTTAGCTGTATTCATGAACACACTCCTATACTTTAGAGCACAAGAGCTGAAGCTCTCACCGGCTCTGATGCAGCCGTGCAGGCTCTGCTGCACGTCCTCTGTGATCTGCCGCACCACGCTGGCGTTTGCAGGCACGTAGGCCAGCTGCAGGTCCTGGAAGCACAGTATGGGCGGCAGGTCGCTCAAAGGGAAGCTGTGGTAGTGCGTTGCATTGGGGTAGTTGATGAAGGACACGTTCTGTCGCAGGACGATCAGGATGGCTGAGAAGAGCAGCGGCAGAAGGATCTCCACCAGCGTGACCAGGATCTGACGCTTCTGCAGGACGAGAGAAAGAGGACGTCAGTGAGCAGAACAGAAGATGAGTGGATTGATGGACAGCTAGATACGCATGTGTGGAAGATGGAAGAATGGGATAATGGTTACTTACTTTAGGGGGAATGGATGGGTAAACGGTTATTTAAAGTAATAAAACCTGGAATAATACCTTGAATGCAATGTAAGCCGCTTTGGATAAAAGTGTCTGCAAAATGAAATTAAATGAAATGAAAAATAATAAAATAAAATAAAACAAAATGTGCTAACCAACAAGCCATAGCTCTCATGCGTTTGCTGTATTTTTATGAATACACTTCCATAATTAAGATTGTTACAATGAAACAATATTTATTTTATTTATATTAAAATAAAATAAGATATTATAAAGTAAGATAATAAAAAGTAACATTTCATTTACATTAAAATTTATTATTTGTGGTGGAACTGATGATTTTTACAGTCATGATACTAGGATAGCTGAATTTTTATGAATACAATTCCATACTTATAAAGTAAAATAAAACAAATTATAAAATGGATTGTTCCGGTCCTTGATTCTGATTGGTTGAGCCACATTCGAAGCTGTTGTAAATTACTCTCGGATTGTTCCGGTCCTTGATTCTGATTGGTTGAGCCACATTAGAAGCTGTTGTAAATGACTCTACAAACATATACCTTTGTTTACTTCTGTGCAGGGCCGTTTCTAGCCAATTTGACGCCCTAGGCGAAATCCCTATATAGCCACGCCGCATTGATGCAGTAATTCATGCAAAAGGAGGCCCAACCAAGTATTGAGTACATGTACAGTAAATGAACATACTTTAACAAGGCCAACAATTCACTAAAAATGTTTTTTATTGGTCTTATGAAGTATTCTAATTTGTTGAGATAGTGAATTGGTGGGTTTTTGTTAAATGTGAGCCAAAATCATCACAATTCAAAGAACCAAAGACTTAAACTACTTCAGTTTGTGTGCATTGAATTTATTTAATACACGAGTTTCACAATTTGAATTGAATTACTGAAATAAATGAACTTTTCCACGACATTCTAATTTATTGAGATGCACCTGTATATATATATATGTATATTCTTTTCAGACAGCAGTTGCTTGTCACATTCAAATTGGTTGTCATAGTAACGACACTAATTTGTGGAGATTCAGTGCATTGAGTTCCACAAATCTGAATGCATTATTTGTAAATTGACTGTTAAGATAAACATTTTGCACAATTTATTATCTGTAATATCATTGTGTTGCCACTAGATGCTGTATAAGCCCTATGTAACAATCTCTAGTAGCTAAGACATTGCACATAAATCACACAAATTAATTTTATTACATTTGGATTTGGATGTATGTTTAGATATTATCAATGGCTACTTTTTTGTCTTTATGTTTTTTGTTAAAAAAAATTAGTTTTTGTTTCTTGAAACATTGATTTAAAGTGTCAGTTATTGCATTATTATTTCAGTCAAACCCTTAAAACCCCTTTGTTACCCCAAACTACATTTAAAAGCTTTATCAGTGGCTTAAAAGTAACCAATGCAACTACTTAATCATTTGCTACTCGTTAATGCGTTAACGTCCCCTTTAAATAACGTGACGCTCTGCCCTCTATGACGCTGCTCCCATTAAGCGCTGTTGGAAGTGAATGAATTGATTCAGCATTTCGACACCTCCGTAAGGATGCATTTAACTCGACAAAGTCTAATAAAGGATGTATTGATCTCGTGAATTAGCGAATTTTACTATACAAATATTTTTAAATTGGATGTTAAAGTTTATATGGGAATATTACATGACACGCTGATCATTTAACAATGCACTGGCGCAAAAAACACACACCTTTTGGACAAATCTCGCAACATGATTTATCAAGTGCCACAAATACTGCCTAAACAAAATACTGATTTTGTGCACTTTATTTGCTGTACCAATATTTTAAATTGGCCTTTGAACGTAGCTTTATTGCATGGCAAAAAAAAAGTGTTACCTTGCCAAAGCACTGACAGAGCCCACTGATCTAATGCCGTTGTTGAGCGCTCCAAATGCAAACTTTGCATGCAACAATCAGGCAGCAATTGACAGCACTCTGGTCTAGTGGCATACAGGCATCGTCAGATTGACAGTACTCTAGCCCAATAATGTTGGGGGATCCAGTGGGGGCGGCAGTCATATTTCAGGGTGACCATGCCACTCTTTATCACAACCCTGCTAAAAGTGCCAGTACGTGCGCTCATTGACCGCCTAGCTCGCCTATGCCTAGAAATGGCCCTGCTTCTGTGTGTTGCTTGGCAACCACAACTGTTTCTGAGGAACTACATTGTTTAGTTGAAGAATACTGTTTTGATTAATATCATTACACTTTATTTGCTCCGTTTTATTTTGTGAAACCTTACTACGTATATGGAATAACCGTTTTATAAAAGCAATAAGCCCCGTGAAGCCGTGGTTTACCTCCTTTTTGTGTTAGCCAATTTATTGCATAGAATTGCTGTATATTTTTTCATTTTGACATTTTTGGCAGTATTACATTTTTTTTTTTTTTTTATTAAAATAATTAAATAAAAATACAAAGTAAAATATAAATCAACAAATAAATACATTTTTTAAAAGATTTTTTTTTTTTTTTACTTTTGGAGTTGATGGCTTTACCTTCATGATACTAAAATAAAACGATGTTATCAGCTTCAAAGCGCAAGCTTCCTGTTTGTGTTAACAGGTGAATTAGTCATATTCATATTGCAAATCTAGTGCTAATAAGCCAATGTGTAAGCGAGCAGGATCCCACAAAGCACCTGAGGCTTGATCTAGATCGATGAAGTACTTTAGACCTCTGATCTGGGTCAGAAAGGCAGCGCTGTGTGCCATAATGAGGCATGAACGGCCCAGTGTTTATGGCTCCGCTTGCCTTGGGTTTCCTAGCAACAGCTGGAGCCCAATAGAGAGCAAACAGCCCTCTATCAGGAGGGAATTGGGACGCTTCCCGCAGCACTTTGATCCAGCTCAATTGACTGTTCAGAAAGTTGACTTCTGATAGACTTCACCTGCACACGATCGTGCACAAGACAAGGTCTGGCATAATGAGAGTGAAAAACACATGCAAACACGACCAAAGCGATGCAGCGGCGTTAAACAGAGCTTCTCTTGTCTTGCGTTCATGAAAGAGAGACTCAAATCTAATCTAAATACGGGAAGGAACATAGAAGTCATTTAATACAGCCAAGTTACATCCCTCTAGCAAATAAGGTAAATGAGGTAATGATTAAATTGGACTCCACGCCTTTGTTTTGCTTGTGCACTTTTATCCGCTGCAAACTAGTTGACGTATTTCCTTAAGATGGTAAAAGAGATTTGATTTTGCGTCTTGCTGTTTGAAGGCGAGATTTATAACATATAAACTATTGGTTTCTTTAACTAAAATATTTGGTCTTTATAGATTTATTCTGACAATTTTCAGACCAAACGCACTCTAATGGGCTTTTCACACTTTAAATAGTTGACCAAGTCATTATTAATCATAATTTTGGATTATCTTGTTCCATATTTCACATTATTTATACTTTGCCCTAAAGGATTGATCTGAGGGATTTCACATTCTTATCTGCATACTTACAATGTGAATTAACGTTAATTGGAAGCGCAGAACAAGCTCTGTTTGTCTTAATTCTTCTAAAATCTGCTCAAAATACTGAATCACAACACAGTGACAGTACAAAACATGAATGCTTAGTGAGGCTATAGTTTGAAGGAAGTGTATAATGTGGTTGCCTGAATCTAAACCACACATTTAACATTTCAGCGCTGCATTTTTTCACACACTGCACCTTTGGCGGCATAATTTGTGGCTTTTATAACCCAGGGTTAACTCAATATATCTGCAGGTTTTATGAAGGTAAATTTAGGACATGTTTAAGACCAAGTAAAGAAAATTAAAGGAATAGATTCAAGGGAACACAATAAGTTCATATGAACACAATAAGTCAAAAAAATATTTCTACTGCAAGATTCTTAAAGCAAGATGAGATAAGAAGTCTTGTTTTTCTGAGAAACTTATCAAAATAAAGTGATTTAAGGATGTTTAGATACTTGTATTGGAAAACAAGACAAAAATACTGAGGAAGATATTGATTTTTTTCAGTGCATGGGGCATTTAATGCCATGACTTTATGAATTCAAGACTTTCTGCTTTGATTTTAAGGTGTTAATTTGTGGAAGAGCGAATAAAGACTTCATAAGACCTACAGCGTGTAAAGACAGTAAAACATTTTTTTTTTATGTTTCTGAAAGAAGTCTCTTCTGCTCACCAAGGCTGAATTCATGTAATAAAAAAATACAGTAAAATTGTGAAATATTATTACAATTTAAAACAACTGTTTTCTATTTGAATGTATTTTAAAGTGTAATTTAATCCTGTGATATTAAAGCTGAATTTTCAGCATCATTATTCCAGTCTTCAGTGTCACATGATCCTTGTCACATGCGCCCTCTGGCCTTCGGATGGAGATTTACTGCTGATCACAGAACCGTGCTTCACTGAAAGATACACATGACAATCACAGCTTCTGTTGAATCGCAATCTCGATTCCATTTCGATTTATCATGCAGCCCTACAACACAGTCAAGAATAACTTAAAGAAGTTGCCAACATTTACTAAACTGTATACTCTTGCTGCTGATTCGAATGGCGAAGCTTCCCATTTTAAGTGTCAGTTGATGGCCTTTCATTTTTAACCAGAAATGTGGACGCTGCTTTTCTGACATTGTTCAGTGACGTTTTATGTCTTTTTACCAAATGAGAGACATGTGAATAAAAAATAAACGGTCAGTTGTGGGACTGCATTCTGTCATAAATCGCATACCATTCATTCCCTAACTTTCTACCGTCGGTTACTGGAAATGACATTACTGGTTGATATGTCCTGATCTCAATAAAGTTTACTCACGCTTTTGGTCTGTGAACTGGATCTCGCTCGGGACGCGTGCTGTCTGTGGAGGTTTGGCCAGGACCGGTCCCAGTATTAAATCACTGAGGCTGGTCACACATGTATTTTTTTATCCTGTCCATTGCTATGGTTATCACTGTGTCAATCACTGCTATTTCAAGCGTGTATGTGTCCGAAAAACAAAAGTCTCATACAAACTCTGAATGGATTACAGCCTAGAAAGTGTGCAAAGCGCGCTCCCCTTATTATCACTAAAATCACTCATCTTAGTTCATCACGATCTCACAAAGTTACTTAATTATCAATGAAGCTCTCTAAACTGCACAATGAAGCTCTCACGTCTGCACTTAGTTATTTCTGAGATGATTCAGGAGCGTGCAGAACTGCACTTAAAAACTCTGACAAACTAAACCGTTTCTGACTGGCCACTGCGTTCAAGAAATCAACAGATTATCAGTGTTGAAAACAGTTGTGCTGCTTCATATTTTTGTAGAAACCATGATATTTGTTCAGGATTCTTTGATGAATAAAAAGTTCAAAAGAACAGCATTTATTTGAAATAGAAATCTTTTGTAACATGCCATTAATGTCACTTTTTATAAATGTAATGCATCCCTGCATTAAATCATTTCTTTCTTTTCAAAAAAATCTTACTGACCCCAAACTGTTGAACAGTAGTGTTTATCAGTGCCCTAAAACCTTAGTATTGGGATGTTTGTACCACAATCATGACAAAATTGAGCTTAATACCATCAATCCTTAAGTCCAGTATCTATACACACACACAAATATTACAACTATAAGACAAACACTCACTTGCTGAATATAGTTCTTCCACAGAAGCAATCCAAACTGCTGCCACACGGCCATTTTCAGATTCACAGAGCTTCACAACCTGGACGAAAACAAAGTGAATGTCAGGTCACGGCACGAGTCTTGAGAGAAATATGAGACAAACTTATCAGAGCTACTCCAGGAATTTCACATCGATTCTGAGTCTATAAACAAGAGCGTTTCGCAACTCTGTCCCGAGACAACTCGTGTTTCCCATAAGAAACAAGAAGTTCAAACTATTATTTCACTTGTGATTGCCCAATGTGAACGGACTACTGAAATTGACCTCGTTTAAGTGATTCTTCACCCCAAAATGTACAACTCCGTCATCATTTACTGACCCTCAAGTTGTTCCAGACCTATGAGAGTTTCTTTCTTCCGTTGAACACAAAAGAAGATATGCTGAAGAAGACTGGGAATGAAACAGTTGACGGTAGCCACTGCCTCCCATAGTACAGAAAAAAAAGCAATGGAAGGCAATGGCTACCGTCAACTTTTGGGTTACCAACATTCTTCAAAATATCTTCTTTTGTGTTCAACGGAAGAAAGAAACTCATACGGATTCTGAACAACTTGAGGGGGCGAGTAAATGATGGCAGAATTGTCATTTCAGGGCGAAAAAGCCCTTTGAGCTAGTTATCTAAATGAGTATGACGCCAATTTCATTTCCAACACTTAAACAATGCCAAAAGGGCCAATTTAACCACAATTAAAGTCATCACTCATCCCAATCTTCAGATTTAATTATTAGTAGTCTATTAATATAGGCTATTTTTATGAATTATGAGCCTTCCTCGTATAATGATCACAAAAGAACACATCTTGGGTGTCCCAGCTCACCTTCTTTGACCCTAAATAAGCTACTTTTTGAATTTGAATGCGTCGCGGGTGTGTGCTTTGTGATATTTCGCAACATGTCAATAAATGCATGTCATTATTAAACATCCCGCAGGGTTAATATTTCTGCCGTGGCAGTGGCATTATATCGGTGGCACAGCTTTGGAGTCTGTGTTTGTCTGCGTGGTGAGTTCATGTCGTTATAGCATTGTTATAGCTTTTATTTATGTCGTGTTTGTGTCCGCGTTCGCTTTCTTTGAACTTAAAGCGCTGTTTTCTATCAAATGTGCATAACGTTGTTTTTCTCTCTGTCTTATGGACCCGTTTCCTTTGACTTGGACATTACAATGATCTTGTGACTGCATCAAGAAATTGTTTATTAGCCCAGGTCCGATAGCAAAACACAATAGAAAGCCCGCACGCGAACACACAGCTCACCTTCCACTCGTCTTTCTGTCCCGCACTGGGCTCCAACAGCGTCTCTTTCAGTCGCAAAGCATTGTTCTGAACAACTTGAGGGGGCGAGTAAATGATGGCAGAATTGTCATTTCAGGGCGAAAAAGCCCTTTAAGCTAGTTATCTAAATGAGTATGACGCCAATTTCATTTCCAACACTTAAACAATGCCAAAAGGGCCAATTTAACCACAATTAAAGTCATCACTCATCCCAATCTTCAGATTTAATTATTAGTAGTCTATTAATATAGGCTATTTTTATGAATTATGAGCCTTCCTCGTATAATGATCACAAAATAACACATCTTGGGTGTCCCAGCTCACCTTCTTTGACCCTAAATAAGCTACTTTTTGAATTTGAATGCGTCGCGGGTGTGTGCTTTGTGATATTTCGCAACGTCAATAAATGCATGTCATTATTAAACATCCCGCAGGGTTAATATTTCTGCCGTGGCAGTGGCATTATATCGGTGGCACAGCTTTGGAGTCTGTGTTTGTCTGCGTGGTGAGTTCATGTCGTTATAGCATTGTTATAGCTTTTATTTATGTCGTGTTTGTGTCCGCGTTCGCTTTCTTTGAACTTAAAGCGCTGTTTTCTATCAAATGTGCATAACGTTGTTTTTCTCTCTGTCTTATGGACCCGTTTCCTTTGACTTGGACATTACAATGATCTTGTGACTGCATCAAGAAATTGTTTATTAGCCCAGGTCCGATAGCAAAACACAATAGAAAGCCCGCACGCGAACACACAGCTCACCTTCCACTCGTCTTTCTGTCCCGCACTGGGCTCCAACAGCGTCTCTTTCAGTCGCAAAGCATTGAATAAACGCTCGCGATTAGCTCGGATCCCGCCACGGCTGAGTTCCGTCGGGAAATATCCCTCATAAGGGCGACAATAACGATGAGGATGATGATGATGGAGACATTGCAGCGCAGCGGCCGTGAGGTGCGGACACAACAAATGCGGTCACGTGACCTCCTCCAGCTGGGCGGCTGCTTGCGGTCACGTGACCGACGCGTTTGTTTGTTCTGCGTGACAGACGTCAGTGCGTCACCTGCGCGTAACGCTTAACAGAGGAACCCCTCACATTAAGTTATCTAAGAAAAAAACACTGTAAAAACATTTCTGTTTGACATTATTCTCGTATTTTTAATAACTTGCAATTCTCAAAACTATTTCCAGGTTTTATCGATTTTGTAATTATCATTGTTATTTTCTGTTACTGTCTGTATATTGTTTGGCTGCATTGTTGTAATGTTGTGAAGCATTATATATATATATACAGTGTTGGGGGTAATGCATTACAAGTAACGCGAGTTACGTAATCAGATTACTTTTTTCAAGAAACTAGTAAAGTAACGCATTACTTTTAAATTTACAAGAGAACATCTGAATTACTTTTTCAGATAAGTAACGCAAGTTACTTTTTTTTCAATGTATTGACTGACAGCTCTCTGGTCCCCTGATGCATTACTTTTAAAAGTAACTTTCCCCAACACTGTATATATATATATATATGTACGCCAAAGGACCGACTGAAAGGGAAAGGCCTCTAACACTAGCTTGCTCTATTCTTTTTCTATCGGTTTTCTTTTTATTTATTATATAATAAAAAAAAAAACTTGCAAGGTGTACTGCGTTAAGCTAACTGAGACTGGTTATAGCACTTGTATCATTGCTCTTTTGTTGATTTTGATTGCTTCCATTGTCCTCATTTGTAGGTCTCTTTGGATAAAAGCGTCTGCTAAATGACTAAATGTAAATGTAATATATATATATATATATAATGCCTCACAAAATTACAACAATGCATCCAGGGGTTTAAAGAAAATGGAAAATAACTATTAAAATAAATTATATATAGATATACGTGTATATAAAATAATGTTTGTATTTTTTCTATTAATTTATTAATGCTCTGAAACAATATACAAACAGTAACAGATAATAACAATGATAAATATATCTGACTTTACCAGTTTAATTTTTAAAACCATGCAAAAATATACCCATCTTATCAGTAAGGATTTGAATAACACATTTGCATATTATAATATTTTTTACTAATAATATAGTAAAAATGGGGAGGGGGGGGGGGGGGG